GGCTAGAACAGCACCACCATAGTGGCCAAACACAGCATACAACTCAGCATTTCACGGCACAACACAACAAATCAGCAGACAGCACGGCTAGTAGTATTCAACACAGCCTACTACTCACAACTCAGCTCATCACTCTAGAGCACAGCAATATTCATCAATTATAATACATTTAAAATCATCAATATCATCCCAGCTCAGCACAGCATTACACATCTATCACAGCTTAACATCATATTTTTCAGCAATAACAACTAGTCAACACAGCATAAACATCCATTTCAGCTTAGTTCAGCATAAAACAACCTCTCTCAGCAATTTCAGCAAAATTTAATAGCTAATAGCACATCAATTCAACATCCTCATGCGCGCCCGGCGTGACCCCCTCACGCGCCTGGCGCAATTTAGAATTGCGCCTAGCGCTTGCCAGGCAGAGACTCCATGGAGTCTCACGTGCTCAGCGTGCCTAGGCCCGCGCCCAGCGCGGGGAAGGCAGAGACCTCCCCTTGGTCTCGTGCCCAGCATAATTTGAATTGCGTTCAGCGCCCTCTTGGTAGAGACTCCCAAGGAGTCTCGCGCCCAGCGCGACTAGGGTCGCGCTCAGTGCAGAACCACCACCCAAAAACAAGTCACATACTGCCTGCGCGCTCGGCGCGATCCCTGACCCGCCCGGCGTGGGCAAACCAGAGGCTCACCTTCTCAAGCTCGCCCGGTGCACACATCTTTGCGCCCGACGGGCTTGTCAAAAAGGAGCCCCCAGGTGGTCACGCGCCTGGCGCGAAGAACCGCGCTCAGGGCGAGGCTTAGCAACAAACTATCAAGTTCAAAATTTTGCCCCAAAACCTGCAAAAACTTACAAAAAATCCACATGCAAACAGTTCAAAGTACCACGTTTTCATCAAACAACCCGAAAATACCAGCTTTTACAACATGCATCCGTCCATCATCAAAAACCCCAAAATTTTCATCATAACCCCGAAACCCCGAAAACCCATTTTTCCTCAAAAACAGCCAACAATCATCAAATCATCAAACCATCAATGAGTTCTAAACTCAATTTCGTGCAACCAGCATGAATCCAAGCTTCCCTTACCTCGGTGCGAAAAAATCCGAGCTCCGGGAAACTTGAACGGAGAAGAAGAGTGAAAAAGAGCTTGAACGGAGAGAAAGAACAAGCTTGAGGGAAGGAAGAAGTGAAAGAGGGGAAGTCTCCGCAAGATCACCAGCTACTCAACACCTAGCTCACCCAAGAAGGAAGGAACAAGCAATAATGAAACTGAGGAAAAAGAGAGTAGTGAGGAAGAAGAAGGAAATGGGGTCTCACAATAGTACTCGCATCTACACCCACTAAATTTTGCGGGTCTATCCTTGCCCCGTACCCATCCCATTTAAGTGGGTATTTACTTGTCCAATATGAGAGTATTTTTGCAGGTATTCACAGGGATCCATTTTGCCATCCCTGAAGAAGATAAAATAAAGATTTAAATATATTTTTATTCCCTCAAATGTAACATAAATTTATTTTTGATCCCTCGTATTTGAAATTGTTGTTTTTAATATTTTATTTTTTAAAATTATTATTTTAATTCTTTAGATCACCAATAACATATATATATTGAGGTAGGTATACAATATGACAATATCAAGTAAGTTTAATATAATATTTTCATTAACAGGGATATCAATAAATTTTATGCAACTATTAAACAAATTCTCTAACAAAATTTGAATATAAAAAGTAATATATATATATATATATATATATATATTTTAAATTACAAGATTAAAAAACTTAGCTTTAAATTTAGTAAGTTAAAAATAATTTTATCTTAAATTTAAAAATTAAAATATATTTAAACCTAAAATAAGTATCAAGTTTCACACGGCAAAGGTGAACATAAATGTTTTTTTTTTCATACTTTTTTTGACCCGTGGAAAGAAATGTTTTAAATATATTAAGACGAAAAATATTAATATTTATTATATAACATTCCCCCTTTTTCCACACACACATATATATATATAACTTATTTATTATTTATATATATTTTACTTTAATTAAATAATATAAAAAATTATTTCACTTTCTACTTCTCCTTTTTTTCTTTCTAAATTAAACAATGTCATAATATTTACTAGCATGAAAACAAGCCATATGCGTTTCTACTAAAAATAAAACTAAAAAATAAATAAATAAGTAAACAATTATTATCATGAAATGAGTACTTATTAGCGTTATAGAGTAAGTAGTTAAATTCTTTTATTTATATTATTTTCTTAATTTTATCTTTAAAAGATATATAAATGAAAAAAAAATTATATTAAAGAATACTCTATATATATATTAAAAAAATTATCTACTCGAAAAAATAATATTTTTTTATATATTATTATAAATGTCACGTTAAGATGTAAAATAATAGTAAAGAATTAATGAAAATATACTTATGGTTTAAAATGTTGTCATTTAATTAGAAGTTGTTATGCATAATAAATTTATTATTATTTTTATAATAATTACTTAAAGTTATATATGAGATAATTTGTAATTAATTGATTGTGTAATTTTTTTCATACTTAATATAAATATCAATTAAAATTAGATAAATTAATTTTGTTTGAGGAAATGACTTACAACTTACAAGCAAATTCTAAAGGTGATATTTTTTAATAAGTATAATATTAAGATGAAATATTTATTAATTTTGTGAATAATTAATTTTTATGAGAAAAATAAATTTGGCAAATTGCTTTTAAAAGACATGGTTGAGTACGAATATGTATCCTAATAGAAGGCAGAAGCTATTGGCTCTTGCTGTCTCGGGTCAATTCTCACCGAACCATATCATAATCGTGTCACTATAACAAAATATTTTCAAACGAAAAATAAAATAATTTGGATTTCATTTAATTTAATTAATAAATTAGCTATAGTGCTGATTATTTCAAAAGCTAGAAGATTCTATTTGTTTTGTGGTTTTAGTCTCATTCACTCGTTTTCGTGGTAACAGCCTAAGCAAGAGAGAGAAGAGTTGGCGTCAAGGAAAAGTTCTCTTTCCACTCTTTTTTCTATTTCTAGCCAAATTATTTATTATTTAATAATAATAATAGTAATAATAATAATAATAAATAATAATAATAATAATTATTATTATTATTATCTTGAAAACATTTGATATATACTGTTTTTATAGAAAGTTATATTTTATTTTTCATAAATATTTCATCGAATATGAATTTAATTAACATTAAATAAGTGAACATCTCATTTTATTGTAAATTTTGTTGAAAACATATTAAGTTTAAAGATTTTAATTTATTTATTAATTAAATTCTTAAATGTATTGTATATGATTTATTAAAATACTTTTTTTTATATTATGTTTGATAAGAAAAAAGAAATATAGAGAAAAGAAGAAAAATGAAATGTAAAGTGTAGAAAAATAAGTAAAAAAATAAAAGAAAAAATAGACTGTTTGGTAAAAAATAAATAAAAAATAAAGTGAAATTAATTTTTAAATAATATTTTTTTTATTTAAAAATAGTCAATAAAAGTGATTTATATTTCCACATGCCCACTTTAGTAAATATAAGTTATTTTTTTTTTCACTTTCCCTTACTGTAAAAGACTAAAAGGGAAGTTTTACTGCATAGGGTCCACACTTATATTACCTCACTTCCCTCCTCTTTTCTCACTTTTCAAATATACTCAATTTTTTTAAAAACATTTTCTCACTTTCTAGTTCTTCTATTTCTTTTTCTTTGGCTTCTTCTTTATCAAACAAAGTTAAAGTTTTCTTAAAATTGTTTTAATAAATTTAAATTTTAAATTTAATACATTTTAAAGAAAATTGGAATATATTATTATTTAAAGAAAATTTTAACTTATTTTAACATTTTTCCCTCATGAATGTACTTTTTCTTTTGTTATAATTTTTTAAATTATTGTATACATACTAAATTTGAACTCCATATATAACTATTTTTATTTTATATGCTACAATGTTTTTAGTATACAAATTTACCTTGTATTTACTTTACACACTACTTATTTCATAAATTAATCACAGACATTGATTCTTTTAAAAGCAATTACCTTCATAAATCAGATATATATTATATTATTTAATTACTTACGTGAAAACACGTGTATGGTACTAGTTAATTAAAAGTAGGCAAATGACACATCTCTATGTATTTTCTTTTTAGGTAAGATATTAAATTAAATTTTTCTTGAAATTAAAAACTACCATAATTTTATATGGGTTTAATACGTTTTGTGTGAGAGGCAGTAGTAAGTTGTTTGGTGAGCAGTTAAAAGGTAAAAAACAGTCTTATAAAACTTACACATCAACAAAATATTTGATTTGCTATAGATTATTAGGTAAGACATTAAATTAAATTTCTTTTAATATTGTTTTTTTCTGAAAGGAAATATTTACCATAATTTTTCTTGGGTGAGATTAACATGGCTAAGGTGGAAGTCTAGAATAAAGTAGTGATTAATATGAAGAGCTGTGGACAGATGAAATTGACTAATAAAACATGGAGATTAAAATAAGATATTATTTTTATTGTTATAAATTATAAAGTATTATTAAATGTAATTAATTATTAAATGCAAAGTAAATGAAAAGGATTAAAATAGTGTGGACTGGAAATATAAAAACTAAGGGCACTCTTTATAATTTTCTACTCTCTTCTCAACTGTCTCACCGTGTTCATCTCGCGTGCATAGCAGTCAGAAAAACACTGCGAGAAAGAGAAGAAGAAGAATCAGAGAGAGAAACTAGAGAGAGAAAGGAAAACCCCTTTTGACCATTGCGCCTCCGTTTTCATTTTCCCATTGATTATGCCAACACAGCCTTTTTTGTTTTTTTTCTTTGTTCTTGTGATCATCACCCTTCTCATCTGGGCTCTGTGATCAACCCCAAAACTCCGATCTTTGTCCCTTCCCGATTCGGATTCGGATACCCACTTGCGTCTCTCTTTCTGGGTCCGCTTTTTTTCGGCCAAAGTTTCCGTTTTGCATAGTGGGGAAGAGTTAAAAGGGATTAATTCTATGTGGGTTTCGCGCATATTGGGTAATCAATGTTGACTTTATCATCACTGTGGTTATGAAGTAATATGGAAGTGCTCCTTGCGCGCATAGCCCATCAGCGACAACAACGAGGATAATAACATGTCGTTTTACATTGGTCGTGAGGCTTCCAAGGTTGCTTATTTTTGCCCCCTCTTGGTGTTGTTCCTTCTTTTTTTGTGTTGCTTGTGTTAATGCTTGTTTGGTATTTGGTGTGTGTTTCTGTAGCTATGGAAGAGAATCTGTGCAGAGACAACTACAGAGATCAACCTCCTTGCTGAGAATTGGAAGTACCTTCTCGCTGGTCTTGTTTTTCAGGTTTTCCCCCCTATTTTGATCAACTCTGTGCAATGGTTGAGTGTGGTTGCTCAAGTTGTGGTTTCCCTTTTTTGTAGAGGATTCCTTTCGTTTTCCTTTAATGAGGTTTCTGGAAGTGTTTTATGGTTGTTGCTTTGTTGGAGCTTTACTTGCATATTACAGAGTTCAATTTTTCTTGTTCATGTAGTTGGTGTGGTTAGTGATACAATTGCTTGCTTTTGTTTTATTTTATTTGTTTCTAGTTGGGAATGAATGAAGTTTACAATACTACCATTTGGTTTGATCACTGTGCCTCACCATGTCACCGATTATCAAGTGTCAGAGTTGATGGCTCAGTGTTTTATGAGGGAATTCAGAGAACATGTAACTGCTTGAAGCATGCGTTGGCCATATTCTGCAACATTGATGATTTGCTTTAAATGATGAATTATTTGTTCCGTCTCAAAACCAATTTAACCTCAGTTCTCACTTCTCTGTGAAAGTCTGGGTTCTGAGAAGATGATCAAATGTTTTAAATCCATCATTGGAAACATTTAATATTTTGTAGCTGGTTGTTGAGGGAAGATATTGAGGACCAATGTTCTATGAAAAAGAATTAAGAATGGCCAATTTGTGTAAAGTATACGACTATATGTTTGTGTGTTTCCATTCTTGTCTATGTTGTGCATGCTTAAAGTGTAACAGTATAGTACATCGGTTTACTTGGTTACTTGACATACTTTTATGTGTTTTAATGTTTGATGTCTGAATTTTAACTGTTTCTCTACAGTATATACATGGTTTGGCTGCCCGAGGAGTTCATTATTTGCATAGGCCTGCCCCTACCCTACAAGATGTTGGATTCTTCCTTCTTCCGGTTTGTAATTGTCATTCCCTTCTTTCTCTCTCTTACTTGGAAAAAAGCAGTACATATCATAGAGTGGTAGGAATGACCTTGTAATTTTAATCTCGGTGGTGTTCAGGAACTTGGGCAAGACAAAGCTTACATAAGTGAAACACTGTTTGCTATGATCTTTCTATCGTTTGTCTTGGTAAGAATCCCCCCTTCCTTCTTTGTCTCAGTTTTTTCATATATTAACTGTATGACTGTGTTGTGTCAGTATTTAACTTTTTTTACGCCCACCTTTTTAATATCTGGTAGGTGGCTCTTGCGATAGGTTATATTTTACCTACCTATGGTATCACAATTCATAAAGACAATTCTATATTCTACTAAGAATTTTCTTTCTTTCTCTCTCTCTTTTTTTGGGGGTGTGATAATTCTCAAGGTAAATATGGCTTGATCATGAATGTTTGTTATATTGCCACCCTCTGGTGTTTCCTTGAAGTCAGAATACCAAACTGTTAAGCTTCTTATATATGTTTTTTTCATTGTGGCTTTGTGAGCCTTGAAAAGTTACACATGAGGTGTTTGTACTGACTATTGAGAATGACTTGTAAAATAAAAGAATTAAAAATAAAAGAAAAGCAAATATCATTTCTTATTTTGCGATTTGAAGTGTCTTCTTAAAGGTTTAGTACTGATTTTGGTGATGGATATTTAACTGTGCTTTATGCCCTTTAAATCTTTGCTTGTTATTTTCTGCTACTGCTATTTTTTACATAAGTATCATTTTCTTTTCTTCTCTTTCTCTGAAGTTTCAGATATATTCTTTGATTTGTGATTTTGCAGTGGACGTTTCATCCTTTCATATTGAAGAGCAGAAAGATCTACACAGTTCTAATATGGTGCAGGGTTTTAGCATTCTTAGTTGTAAGTGTTGATCACATTATCTCATATTCATTAAAGTGTTGTTTAATCTTTTGGGAATCTTAATTGAATAGAAGAGTTCTTAGGTTGATAGATTGATTAATTAGAATGAGTTGACAGTATAAAATGGAGGCTTTAATGCTCAAATGAATAATGTTGACTATTATGTGGTCATTATAATAGTATTCTATACTTATATAGTCAGCACAGTATATTTCAGGCCATTTAAATGCTTCAGATAGAGGTCAGTAGTACCTATTCTGTATTTATGAATATGCCAGTTTTCTCACTTCATCTGGGCTGTTGTGTATTTGTGTACTGCAGGCCTCTCAAATTCTTCGCATAATCACCTTTTATTCTACACAACTTCCTGGTCCAAACTACCATTGCCGTGAGGTATGATTGTTTAAAGATGTTTGTAAAACATGTCACGTGCTGTGTTTAAATATTACTTCTATTCACCAGTGTGAATAGCATATACGTGCAAGATTTTATTTATTTCTCTTTTTAGATTCTAATATTTTTTTACTATTACCATGCAGGGGTCTAAACTTGCCACATTACCCCGTCCAGATAGTGTCCTTGAAGTGCTCTTAATTAACTGTTAGTACTCATTGTATTGGAGATGTTTATATTTGATGCTTTTGTTTGTCTTATCACTCATTCCAATTATATGTGCAGTTCCGCGTGGCGTGGTCTATGGATGTGGTGATTTAATATTCTCATCACACATGATCTTTACTCTTGTTTATGTGCTCACATATCAGAAATATGGCACTAGAAGGTAAAATTGGCGTATAAATTCCTTCCATCTTGTTTTTGGCAAAGAATTAAGTCTGTCAGTAGATTTTACTGCAGTTATTTTTGTTTGGCAGCTTCATTATTCATTTCCTGTTCATTCCTTGTAAAGTATTTTGTTATTTTTTAATTTAATTACTGATTTGTTAAAACTGTTTGACATTGATGAACCACTAGGTCAATGAAGCAGCTAGGGTGGTTGCTTGCTGTGATTCAAAGTCTTTTGATAGTAGCATCTCGCAAACATTACACCGTTGATGTTGTTGTTGCTTGGTAAGGAGCATTTTTTGCTTTGTGATTTGAAAACTGTGTTCTATGTCCCATTTGAGTTTATATTTTGGTCCATGGCTGGCAGGTACACCGTTAATTTGGTGGTATTTTTTATAGACAAGAAATTGCCAGGTTAGCACATTTGTCTCTTGTACATAGTTACATAGCTATTGTCTTTTACTTGGGTGCTATTTGCTATTGTTCTGACTTGGTTATTCTGCAGAATTACCAGACAGGTCAATTGCAGCTGCAACCTTGCTACCTTTGAGCATCAAAGAAAAAGACAGCAGGACCAAAGAGGAGAATCACAAGCTATTGAATGGAAATTCTGGAGACCCTGCAGATTGGGTACTTTGAATATACTTGTCCTTTCCCTTGTTCCTCTTATGTGATGTCTTGGTCCTTGATTTGGACATAACATGGTTGTTTTCATGTGCTCAGAGGCAGAGAACTCAAGTGAATGGCAAGATCATGGAAGATGGCAATACACTCCATGCAGACTCTGCCATGAATGGTGCATAGATATAGGAGCCTCTGCTTGTACAAATTGGATCCACTGCAAGATAGCTGATGGAAAGCTGCAACCTTCAATTTGAAGGATTTGTTGTCTGAAACATTCACATGTTAATTCAAATTAGTAACCTCATTTGTACCAGTGAAATTGAAACAAACTGGGTTGTGCATTTCAACATTTTGCAGCTCAGATCCATGTAATGGATAAATTATCTACACCATCAGCATGTGCTATAGAAAATTTCCATTCTCTCTTTTACCTACATTGATCCCATATGCACAAATGCTGTACAGTCTTTTTATTTGGTTGTTAAATCTTCTTGCATTAAATGGAAACCAACTTAATGTTAAGCACTATGTAATAGGCATGTAATAGACCAACTTTGCCTAGTTAAAGTAAAATGCAACGTGTCAACTTTTTGGCTTTGAAAAGGGTTTGAAAGTGGAAATGGGTATGCATGATTTAGGTGATTACCGTTTATTGGAGGGCTCATTATCTCTGAAATGATTAGTTAGGTGGTAATAAAAAGGAACACAAGCGTGACATATTCTTAAAATTTGAAATGGTGACAAGTGACATGAGCAAGCACATGATGCTTTGACCGTGCATGTGCTTTTTTACACAAAACAATGCCCTATGTCGATTGTCCCATTCCTTGTCCCTCGTCTGCAAACCCCATTTGGATGTTTTAGTAAAACCTTTCTATTCAAATAGGTCTTTGTTTACAAAATTAACTCATTGCTGATGCAGCATATCACGTGTCTTCTACTTGTCACATGGGGCACCCTTCTACACCTCTTAACGCGTTTTGTGGCCCTTTACTTTGTTGAATCACTTGGTCTAATCGAATGGGGCATCGTGTTTTTCAACATTATTGTCAATCCAGCAAGGGTGAAGTGTTGTGTTAAGCTTGTGGCCATGCATGTCTTATATGTAGCCTCATTTATCACAACCAACATTACTCTTGGCTTGCGGTGTTTGTTGATTAATAATAAAAGATACCTCTAAGTGCTTGTTTGGATATGCATTTAGGATCTATGTTTTCTAGTAAATCCACTTCTAAAATACCAAAATGATGCAAAAGTAAGTATTTTTAGCTTCGAGTAAGTATTCCTAGCTTCCAGTTGATCAATGTCCTACAATGTATGACGCGGAAGCAAATAGATTCTAAAGGGCTTCAAATGTGATGTCATTATTTGTTCATGTATGCAACATTAGGATAAATCCAGATCTAATTTTACCATCCAAATTGGTCAAAAGGATGACCATACATTTGAGAATGTAAACGTTTAACCCTTTCCTCATTTCGGAAAATACAACATATAGAGTTCAATAGGAATGTATTGTATAAAAGTTCTTATTATTGTTATTATTAGTATTTATTATTGGTATGACTTTTAAGATAATTAAAATAGAAGTTAACAAACTTTTCATGCACAACAATTTGTGGATAAGTGTATAAAATGTTTACATTTTCAGTACATATATTATCAAATATAAAAATAGAGACAATAGAAAAATTGTAGCGATTAGGTTTAAGAAACTGTTATTTTCTTCTTTTTTGTTAATAATTATCATTACTATATTTTAACTCTTTAACAACATTTTCTTTCTTACATTTGTTAAAATGTTACTATATATTGAATAAATAAGTATTTTACAACATATTTTAAAAAATATCATTAAATAGAGTAACATTTTTTATTTCAATATTATTCTTTTCAATTGTTTTCAAAATCAAAGTCCCATATCGAGTAAAAAAAATGTTACATAGGTTGTTTTGTAACATTTTTTTTGAAAAATGTTACTATAATTGCTTATGTTATTCATAATTAAAGTTTCACATCGAATAAATGAATGAATTATAAAGAGTATATATAATCATATAGTTATATTTAAGATAAATAAACTTTGTTATTTGATATATAATTAGTGGTGACTAATTAAGGATGTCTTCAATCTTCTCCTAAAGAATTCTCAGGAGTTTAGGAGACATAAAAAAATATAATAATTGACATTAATATCTAAATTAAAATTAATTATCGTTTTATAAAGTTAACAAAAACTTAACAACATTATTAAAATATTACATAAATACTACTTTGATAACATTTGAAAAATGTTACCTAATTGTATAAAAATGTTACTAAAAATCTTTAGTAACATGGACTATATACAACATTTGATAATATGTTGCTAAAGACTTTTAGTAGCATTTTTATACAATTAAGTAACAATTTTCAAATGTTACTAAAAATCTTTAGTAACATGGACTATATACAACATTTGATAATATGTTGCTAAAGACTTTTAGTAGCATTTTTATACAATTAAGTAACAATTTTCAAATGTTACTAAAAATCTTTAGTAACATGGACTATATACAACATTTGATAATATGTTGCTAAAGACTTTTAGTAGCATTTTTATACAATTAAGTAACAATTTTCAAATGTTACTAAAAATTCATTGTGTTGTAGTGTATATAAGTGTCATTTTATTTGTATTTTTATTTTCAAAGAGTCCTAGAGAAAATGACAACAATAAAAAGTGCTATTTCCACTAATTTTATTATAAAAGTTTACTAAAATAATAGAAGAGTTTATGCTTATGTCATATTTAATGAAAACAATAAATATTTTCTTAAGGGAAGGCCGACAGTCCCTTGAAATATCTTCCATTTGTGGTCAAGTTAAATTTATTTATGTGTACAAGTAAGCTTATAAATTTATGGAACTCACGTCATGTTAATTAGTCCTTTTATCATCTTTGGATAACCAAGTCAAAAACCAAAACGAGTATACGTTTTATAAATTTAAAAACTACTCATTAACTTAAATAAAATTCAAGGAGTACACAACGAAAGTGAACTCGTTTTTTAAGCAAAAAGTCGCATGCTTACACTTTAAAACAGAAACACCAAGATTTATAGTGAATATTAAAAAGGGAGATGTCTACTTGCTGTAGATAATTTAGCTTCCCATGAGCCCCATGCAAATCAGATAAGGTTTTCGAATCCAATTTATTTAATACAAACAAAGATCATTGATGAAAATCTACCAAAACAATGTCATTTTGCGTCTGTTTTTTCAGCACTAAAAATATTTTTTCAGTTGATGGTCCAGGACTATTTTTTTTTTCGAAATGAAAAGATTACCAAAACAAATTTTATCTTTTTCAAAAAAGTTTTCTTCATATACAAGATCAGATACCAAAGTCCTAAAATCAAGTCTTACAAATATGAGTTGAACCTAATTCAGTCATATTAAATTGACCTTTAAGTTGAGGGTTACTCTTATTTATATTTAAAGAATTCAATTATTTATCAATTATGTTACACTTTGTTATTTTATGTTATTTTTTAACAAATTATTTTTATACACAGACATCGAGCCATTAATAACATGCTTAAAAAGTGTAACTATCTAATAACTAGATTTCATATAATAAATAATAAAAAGATCATTTAAGTCAATTTGATATTACAACATAATCTAAAATCTTAAGAAATAAATTAGACAGATCTTTTTCACTTATATACTACATAACACAACTAATTATAAGGCAACTAATTATAAGTGATGTGAAACTTATTTTACACTTAAACTCATCACTACCTTGTTATTTTGAGTCATGTGTTACGTGGCTGTGTGTTCAAAATGTGAAGGATGCCCCATTTGTAGTTACAGCTAAGCAAAGGTAGCATGGTGATGCAAGTGGGTGTGCTTACAGAAAAGCAAAGAGTGTAGGATAATATAAAAATATGATTTGGGGTGCCCCGCAGAAAACATATATACAACGATGTAATCCAACAAAAGGGTGGTGGTGCTTGCGCGATTTAAGCTGGAAAAGTTAGTCAATGTTAGAAAAGGGAGCACACTCATTATGGGGGACAAACAATATTAACAGAGAGAGGCAATGCGCAATGATAGGGTTGATACGTGAGTGATGCAATAACATCATTGAGGCATGTCTATGAAATCCTTCTAACGACCACTTTCTTCCCTTTACGTGCTCCTCCTTTCCCTGTACGAGGGTCCTGTTGATCCCCACATAGGTGGTATCAATTATCACACCACTCTCTCTCTCACTTCGGAGCTTCATTCATTTCCTATTCTGCTTTTGTTTTCGTTAAATTGGTCTCCTCGATCAATTATCATGTCATGCACTCTCAAGTCTCTCTAGTTTTTTATTCATAGAAATCAAACTTCAAATATATTCTACTTGATCAACTCAATTAGTCTCTTTAATAAACTGAGCTAAACTTTTTTATAATCTGTCTATAGTACACTTTAATTTGAGAAATGATACAATAAATTATGTAATAATGTGTGATATTAAGTAAATGAAAGAAAGGAAAATTTGATATGTAATAAATGATATGAGTAATATATATAAATATAAATATAAATGATGTTACATAAATTATTATATTAATTACTGTATGTGTATTATATCTCATATTTTTATGAAGACCCTTTTGTTTTATACGAATGAAAATTGCTTTTACAAAATGGAGAAATATGTGATTGAATTGATCAGGTTCTTAAATTGAAGATGAAATTGTAGCTATGACAATTATTTTTAATCATAGAAATCAAAGTGCACAGAAATTTATAACAATTCATAATTCATGGATACTATGCAATCAAACGAGTCATTTAATTGTAACCATGACAATTGATTAACAAATACTGCCTCTGGACTAATATATAAATAAAAACTGCTTAAAACTTTTGAAATTAAATATAATTAAATTCTAATTAATTTTACTCTATTTAATGTTATCATTAAAAAATAGCCTTAAATTAACTGTGATTACTACTTTTGAATTTCAGTAAATATTATTGAGGTAATTGAAAAAATAAAGTTGAATTTTTATATGAAATTAATAAAATTAAATAATAATATGTGTCAATTTAAATATTTTTACTTATATATGAGCTTGGACTCTCGGAAGGAGTAAATGGTTAAGCTTTTAGTAATTTTATAACTTATTATATACTTGTTTTTTATTATAATTTTAACTATTAATTTTTTATTGGTTTAACTAATGGTCTTATACTTAGGTTAACTTTTGGTTTGGTCTCTATACCAAGAATTTTTACATTTTAATTTTTTACAAGCATTTTCTTTTAATCCTCATATCTCCAATTTGTTGCAAATTTACATTTTAAAAGAACTAAAACATAAAAAGTTGCTTGTATAGAGATTAACACATAAATTTTCTTATGGATTAAAATGAAATTTGACGCATACAAA